ATATATATATATATATATATATATATATATATATATATATATAGGTGGAGGTTCAAACAAGAACACCTTCATTTTACGAGAACGCAAAAACACCCTTATCACATGTGATAATACACATGAGGGGCCCTGTGATGTGCGGACGATGTGTTCTATGACTTAGCCTGCGCCAAAGGTTGTGTGCATCTATGATTTAGCATCACATGTGATGATCTTGATGGATTATAGTATTATATCAACGACACCCTTATCACATGTGATAATACATGTAAGGGGACTTAGTGGTGTAAGGCGACCTGGCCCGCAACCAAGATCGCATCGAAAATCGTCTGCGTCTCTGATTTAGTATCACATGTGTATCATATGTGAAAATAATAGTATCACATTTGATTGTCTATATTAAAAAGATGTTCTCACGTTCTCGTAAAATAAAGATGTTCTCATTTGAACCCTTCCTTCTATATATATATATATATATATATATATATATGCAAGAATGACTCAAAAGTGTTTGAAAAGTACTTGATAAATACCTACAACAGCTATGGATCACTAGTCAAACTCTCCTACAATATACCAACTATATAAACCACAATAACTAGTACAGAAAGCTAAAGGAGTTATAATTGCACACCTAAGATTGTCAAATATACACCTACGTCTTAATATCATTCTTCTAACGCACATCAACATCAAGAGCAATTTTTATATTTTCAATATATGATTTGACTTGATTTTGATTTACATAGGTGTGTATAGCGTACATATATGGAGATAACACAAGCAAATGGGTCAAGTCAGGTACCTGGTTGTACTTCATTCAAGCGAGCGAGTTCTTTTTCCCATTTTAACCCTAACATCTGACGTCCAAATGGTACGATCAGGTTATACCGAAAAACCTGCCACATTCATCATTTGTATTAGCACTTCTGTGACGATCTAAAATGTAGTACTGAAACATATTCATACGCTGCAATATATATATATATATATATATATGCACATGAAACATATGATGGTATTAATTACATTTGCATCCATAAGTTTCCTCTAATTTGTTTTCTTAGAGAATATTATAGATGTTTGATTGTTGTTTTCCCGTTGACAACGTGTCTGGCCCAACTTACGCACACCTCAACTAGTCCCATGAGACCTTTCATAGCAACTAGATAAATTGCCGGTGGCTTTGCAGGGACTTGAACTGACATCGTGACCTATAGGAAGTATATATGGTGTTTACCTATTACAAAATTCACGACTAGGGATCAAAAGGAGTATACATGTTTTTGAGTAATCATTTGGATGCACATAAGTTAGCTTATAAGCTAACTTATTCATAAGCTACTTGAAGTAGCTTATGATGAACTCTTTGACACTTTTCTAATTATAACCCTAATTAGTATTAATTATTAATTCATAAATAAATATTAATTATTCATAAAATTAACTAAAAATTATTAATTAATTTTAATTTTACATTATTA